AATTCTAGGAAGTTAGTGTTTCTTGTAAAGAGAAACCAGGGGAAGTTGCAATGACTGTCTTGCTTAGCTTTGGTTGGGGGCCATCTGCAAGAGGATTCTCTGCTTATGTCATAATGTTTGCCTCCCTTTCCCTGAAGATCATTGACCAACACCCTGAAAACTGTCCTGAATACTTGTAAGGGGACCTTTAAGGGAGAAAGTCCCTCAGCTACTGGGCCTCAGAGACTTAGCATATACACTTGACTATAAACCAACCCGAATATTAGTCAAGGCACCTAATTTTACCTCAAAAACTGCATACAAAATGTGCTGCAAAAATTGGCTTATATGCGAGTACAAATGGTACATTGCACATGAGCTAAGTGAAGCTTAAGCCAAAATATCCTGGGGTTTCTTGAGCATCAGCGACGGATCCAAATCTAGAGTTTCCTGCTTCCATGCCCACAGTTGATATGGGAGCAAGTCCAGAACTAGCACTTTGCCTCTCAAGAAGGGGCGTTTTGTGAATTCTTTATTTTTCTCAACTATTGCTTTGAAATAATTTTCTTATTAAAAGGGAAGAAGGAATTAATAAATACACATTTTTAACATCGCCATGCTAGAAATGTCTTGCTCCATTTCCAGATATGCCTTTGGGTCATTGCTGCAGCTCATCAGATACAGAAAATGAGGAAGATTTACTTTAGGAGAGTAATGAGGATGGAAATTGGATGGTTTGACTGCAATTCTGTGGGAGAGCTCAATACGAGAATCTCTGAGTAAGTACTGGTAGAACAATGTTTCCATGTATAGGTGACTTTTCCATGATTAAGTCTTTTTTTCCCAATGAAATAACAATGGTAAATACATTGCCATTTGTTTTTGGTATATTTTGTCCCTTAAATTGGATTTTTACAAGTAGTATGAATAATTCCTCATTAAATATTATCACTGTGTGATGCGATATTAGGGAAGTAACTTTCTCATAAAGATGTGACATTCAAATTCAGAGTGTGGCTTCAAAATTTCTGCTTTTAACCACTCCCCTCATCTGCCACTAAGCAGAATGAAAAACACATAACACAGCAATTACACTTCTATGGAAACACAGGAAGAAAGTATTTATTCTTCCTGAGGCATTAGACAATTTTTTATGAACTAGATGTTATATGAGCAGACTTTTAGACTGGAAGAATTTAGTAGATATGAAGAGGGGCAAGGGGCCATTCAGGACAGGACAAGAATATTAGCGATACAAAGAAGAATAAGACAAATAAGATGATACCCCAAAGTCTTATCAAGATCTAGGTGGAGAAAGTTGGTAAATCAGGGTTAGGGAAAAACTTATCTAGCTATAAGGAAAGTGGCTTGATCATCTCTCAAGGTGCAGCACATTTTTTTCTCAGGTGAGTGGCACTTGTGTTACCTGAGAACAACGGAATACAGAGATCAGAGTGTGTAGAAGAACATGATTGAGATTTCTTAGAAAGATATCTGAATTGACCAAATTCAGTTTTGATGATCAATGTCATTCTTATTTCTAGTGATATTAATAAAATCAACGACGCCATTGCTGACCAAATCGCCCGTTTCATTCAGTACATGACCACCTGCATCTGCGGGTTACTCCTGGGGTTTACCAAGGGCTGGAAGTTGACCTTGGTTATTATTTCGATCAGCCCTCTCATTGGGCTTGGAGCAGCTGTCATTGGTCTGGTAAGAACGTCTTCTTGCATCTCTCCCTCAAAGGTGTTTATTTGCATGGAGGTGGTTGCTAGGAGCCATTGAGTCCTTCTGGCTCCTAACGACCTTAAGCACCCCAGAAGAAAACACTGCCCGATCCTGTGCCAGTCTCACACGCTTTGTAATGTTTGAGCCCATTGTTGTAGCCCCTGTGTCAA